TACTTGACCGTGTTAGCCATCCTGATTGGTTAACACAAAAAAAACTCGGTGAACTAGTCTCTACGTAAAGTGTGTCGACTGAACATCTGCTGTAACAGTAGACCCATGTTACAGACCAGTGTTAGTACTGAAGTCTGGGCAGCAGCAGCAGCTAAAATCTTGAGCCAGTGGCAGTCTGCAGTGAGGCCAGATTGAAGGATATGTAATCCATGGGGCAGGCCGCCAGACTATGTCAGACTCACTGCTGAGCTGCGTGATAGCTAGCTGTCAGGGGTACGGTGACATACAATTGACACCTCTTGACCACAGTCCTACTTTTCCCAGTAGTACTTGTCTGACAGCTGAAGAAACTGAACTGTGGCTCATTTGAAGGCCAATGTAGACAAATTATTATCGAGGCTTCACCCCCACCCCCGTTTCTTATGCGTACGTATGTAGTGACTGTACTCGTCATTGTATGGTGCCGGGGCTTGCGAAGTCACAGCCGGTAATGTTGTCATTACGGGCAGCCCAGGTTACGGGCTGCAGTACCAACCCTAGCGGTGGTTGGGTGAGCGCTGGTTAGTGCGGAGGCACCGCGAGCAGTGTGGGGTGCCGGCTCCCAGTGAGGGGGCGAGAGGGAGCGTCAGCCAGCCAGGGTTACCCTGGGGCATGACACTCTGGCTGACCTGTTGTCACGTGACCAGACGATACTGGACTGGGGCCACCGGTGGTCGGGGGCCGAGGGGCGGTCACGTGGTCCCGACGGGCTCTCGGGAACATTCGAGAAGGAGCTCGAGAAGCCTGGAAGGTGGGCGGGGCTAAGGGCGGAGCCAGCCCCAGCCCCAGCCTGGGAGCATATAATGAGAGCTTCGTGAGGAAGCTCAGGGTTCTTCAAGTGTTGGTGTTGGAAGATCAACATTGGGGAGAAGAAGCCTCGAGCCACACGGTCCGGGACCCAGCTTGTGGTCCGGACCGGGATAGCGAACCGTGTCTATTTCTGCCGTAGCGTGGTTAGATGGGCATTCGAGACCCGAGTGTAGATCGTGTTGTGTTGCGTGTTAATGCGGAATAAATAGTGTTGCTCCCAAGATAACGTCTGCGGCTCAGTTGAACTCACTACACGTACATTGTCAGTAGACCCCCCATACGCAAGCATACACATTTGGGTTAACCCCCCCTCCATGCGTACCTACTAACTGGATGGCCCCTATTCTCGAGTTATTGAATGTTGATCTGCAGCCCTCATCAATATTCTGATTTCATTAAACTTTATTCTATAAGAAGCTAATTTGGATTCCTGTTTCCTGATTGGTCTGTGTATTACGTGACTCTACTTTTTTGTTTTTGTTTTCAGCTCCTTTCCTGCAGCCAAATCTATGAGTTTGGAAGCTGAGGAGATTATTATGATTCATACTAAACTCTAGAACACCATAAATAATTAACTTGTTATTAAGACCTATCGACACTACGGACCCTTAGATACTGGTCCAGAGTTTGCTTGTGTAGTGAGTCACTTCTGAGACACTATGTTAGGAGGCAACGACGTTTATTCTACACTTTATAACTTACATACTGTTTACACACGGGATAACTAATTGCGGGTCAGAGCAGCCAACATGCTCTCTGACCCACAATGCCGGAGACGGAGATGAAGACGTAGCACCTCGGGTTCCATTCAACCTGTAGACAGCCCCAATTCAGCCTCGGGGTTTCCCTTTTGTGCCCCCCAGTGTGGCCTGGCTCCGACCTCGGCCACACCTCCCAGAACCTTCCACGAGGTTCTGGGCCTACCTCCATGTGCCACCTGTCCGGCTCCATCCTTAACCATGCCCCCTCCTGGAACCCTCCAGAAGGTCCTGGGCCATGCCCCCCGTGTCCCCTCGGTCACCCTTGCCCTACATCCTTCACCCCGGCCCATCACGTGCTTTGCCAGCCAGCCTGGGTGATGTGTCCTCATATGCCCCTCTCCGCCAGCAGCCAGTACCACGCCCCCTAGTGACCCACTATGTGGCATTACCCGCTATGCTGGCGGGATAGCTGCTATACCATGGCTCCGTCTGTCGGACTCATATTCAGCCAGCACCACGCATCCTAGCGACACACTGCGTGGTATGACATACTGTGCTGGCTACTACACCCATATTTCCTTATTCTATTGTATCCAGCGCTACGTGTCCTTAGTGATCCATTCTATGTCACTACACTTGTCCTGAATCAATGCTGCTGAATGTAAGTACTTCCTGAAGGCGACTGGACCAATGGGTTGTGTAAGAAATACTTTTATTTGCCTTTCATGTGGAGAGACATATATATAGGGAGAAACATCTCATCTATTTTGCATCAAAACTACAGGCATGTGTTTACTCACGAATAGTGCGAAGTCAGCCTGATGTTATACGTTGTTTCAAGACGAGTTCTCAACGCGTCATCGTCTGTGAACCAAGTAATTGGCCTTCCATGGAGTGTGACGCTAAAGCCGATCGGAAACGGGCAAAGTCTACTGCTGCTTAATGTAATAACCATGAATATCAAGATAGAATAATGGCCACAACCATCAGATGCCGCCACACCTTGCGGCATTGTTAACCCAGAGAGGTTGGTAAATTTAACGCTTAGGATTTTTTTACGACCAATATCTATTCATCTTAAATGTTTTGTGTATTGCTCTCCAACACACCGGTGTTCTGAAGCAGTAATACATTTCCACGTTTGTTCACGTGAACAATTAATTAACTCGCTATGTTGGGTGGAGGAGGGTGTACGACACACATTTTACTCACGTGATCTTTCCCAATTTTTTTTTTTATAAATAAGGTAACCCCACAAATAAGTAACGAGCCAAACAATTGAAACCATGACTCGCATGGACATTATCCTTTAGCCTCAGTGAGTCTTTTCTCCTGAACTCAGTTGAATGAGGTCATCAACATAATAATAATAACCATGATCATCACCAATGATTGTGGCATGAGGGAGCGCCCTCTACCGTAACAAGTTGGGAACTCCTTCGTGAAGACAGCCACGAGGCTTGCCTGTGGCAAACCGCGGAGCGCACAGTCACACACAGTCACGCCATTGTCCCGCTTCAAACATTCATCGGTAGTGTTTACATATATTCTTCAGCAGGCCACTCACTTCCCCCCGAATCCGCCTACTGGCACACACGCCAACCTCAACGTGAGCATATTCATCCGTTTAAGTCAACCCTGTCAACGCACACGGTTTACCCCGTATTCTTGTACAGGGAAATTGAGTTTTCAGGTCCAGACGACGGACAGCCGTTTCAATGCGGGCAACAACAAAAACAATTGAGTCTTATTTGTTTGTGTTTCTCACTTGTGATGGGATTTTGTAGGATGGACGTTGAGATTTTATAAGGGCACGGGTGATTAGTAAGGTCTGAATTATATTATTGGTTCTTTCGGTAAAGTAACGTAGAAGGGAAACAATACAATAATAAAAATATAAAACAATACAATTTTATTCTTTTTATTATTTTATTGTTTCCCTTCTACGTGACGTTACCAAATTAACCAAGAATATGAATCCCTGCAGTCACGAAAGCTTTATATAAAAAATGTCTGAATTGGTATGTAATAAGATAGGGCACTGATAAGGGGTTGACAGGTGTGAGGTCCCATCAAACCAACTGAGAGTCGTCGCTTTGGCAGCACTGGTTCAAAACCATCAAGCTCTAGACCCCTTGAAACAATGCTGTGGTGAGTTTTCCTGATGTCTCTTGCCCACCCATCCAAAATGCTGACTGGACATCTGTGAAAAAGAGCTTCATGGCTCATCGGATTCCGCCTGCAGTCTAAATAAAGATTCTGATTCCGTTGGTAAGGATCCTCCCTATGAGAAACGGGTCCTTGTTCCACGCAAAACGTCCTAATACGCAGAAGAGTCGTTAGGGTCGTTATGGATAATAGAAGTAAACAACCATATGTTCTGCGACTCGTGAATATTATGAGCGATTTAATCTACAAGGGGCAGTCCATAAATGACGTCACGCACCTGGGGGGGGGGGGGGTTAGACATTTGTGACGATGTGTGACGACAGGGGGGGGGGGGGGGTTGCGAAATGTGACGTCACATCAAAATGCGCAACTTTAAATAAATATAGACAACACGTTCTACTTAATTAAATAGACTTTTTAATAAATGTTTTCTCCTACACCGTCGGAGTGCATCGGCACATTAAATACGCACTACAATGACAATAGTTTAAAGCGATTTGAAACATGTTTGATTTTTGGGGAGGGGGCAGAGCTTTGTGACGTCATATTTGAGGGGGGGGTCTGACTTTTTGTGACGCCGTGTGACTAGGGGGGGGGGGTCAAAAATCGTCCAAAATCACGTGACGTCATAGAACTCGGACCCCTCTCTTAAAGATAAAGTATTTTGCTTATAAACATCTGGCAGTTCACCAGCACTGCTGATTCAAGGAAATCAGACTGCTGATAATTTCAACTCTCGTAAGATCATGATCATGTTGATGTTCCTACTCGTAGAGAGAGAGGGGACGACTTTGAAGAACCACAGATATGCGGGAAGGCCGCATCCTGCGCCAACAATTAAACAAGTTTTGTGATCCTTCATATATATAAACACGTGTGTAATCGGCCAGTTAAAGAGTGATGATACACTGCATGTCGAAACCGGTGCCAGATATGTGCTTGTGTTGAATCCATGGGACTGAAATGATGCACTCCCAGAAGGCTATGTGGCCGACGGGATGTATATATATAACCCAACATGCATTTGTTATGTTTAAAGGGACAGCTGTATGAAGGACACGTATTGCCTGCGTATGTGTGTTTGTTGTTAACATTGAGTCCTTGGGGCAGCTCGCGTTTACGCTGTGCGCGCGGAGTGCGAGAGTCGGGGCACCAAAAGCAGGATCTCGATTCATCAGCAGGTGTCGCTTCGCCCCGGCTGCCATAGCCGCAGAGATGATGTTGGCCAATTCGAGCAGCATTATTATTTTATTATTACTACTACTACTGCTGCCTCTCCTCGTGTGGCATCTCTCTCTCTCTCTCCCCGTGTATTTCTTTCGCTCAGCCCACCACGGCTACTGAAATAAAGGCTCGCGCGACGGAGAGTGTGGAGTGGAGAGGAGGCGCTCTGAAGCAGCGGTGAATTTTCACGCTGATGACTATGATGAGAGGAGGATGTTGGTGGCGGTGATGATGACGCTGACCGAAGCCGGCTGTGTGGGACGTCAGGCCGCCGACAGACACGGGCTCCAGCACGCGGTGCCATGAGGAGGAGGAGCGGCTGCTGAGATTCTGCTGTCTCGACTCGCGAGTGGATTCAACCGGTGGTGGTCTCGTGTCCAGTCTCCATCTAGAAGCCGACGGGATGCCTTGTTATGCGAGACAGTTGTTGTAGCAGCAGCATTAGTGTCTTTATCAGCAGCAGCACCAGCAGCGTCAATTATCGTGATCCGCAGCAGGACTAAACGGAGCGGATTGAGGAGGTGTCTGTCATCTCTTAGTCTGTCACTTGGTCGCGCGCGCACACGGAGGGGACTGCGTGCTTTGGGAATGCATCCCCGTCCGATGCCCTCGCTCCTCTGCTCGGGGCCGGGAATTTTCTCATTTCTCATCTGCTTTGCAGCGGCCGCTGGTCGCGGTGGCGGCGGTATTGGTAGCGGTGCTGCTAGTGGTGTGGCTCTTGGTGCCGGTCACGGCGGTGACCGTGGCGGAAGGCGTTGTTGCTGGTGGTGTGCCCTCTGGCCTCGAAGCAAGAAGCGCCCTCGAGACCGCGGACAATAAGGCCAACGGCACCGACGCCCCGCCGGTGGTCACCTTGGCCGTTCTCCTCCCGCTGCGCAACTCCTCCTACCCGTGGTCCTGGTCAAGAGTCGGACCCGCGGTGGTCCTGGCCCTGGAGCGGGTCAACGCCGACCCGTCCCTGGGTCTGGGCCGCCACCGGCTCACCTACGTTCTGGCCAGCACCGAGGACAAAGATGGTTTCTGCTCGGACGTGGAAGCTCAGCTGCAAGCGGTGGACATCAAACTCGAGCACGACCCGGACGCTTTCCTGGGGCCGGGCTGCGTCTACAGCTCTGCCCCCGTGGCACGGTTCGCCACGCACTGGCGGAGGCCGCTCGTGACGGCTGGGGCGCCGGCCCACGGCTTCGACAACAAGAGCGGGGAGTACGGAATGCTGACCCGAGTGGGGCCCTCGCACGTGAAATTGGGCCGCATGGCCGTGCGGGTCCACGCGCTGTTCGGCTGGAGGAGGAAAGCGATGCTCATCTACTCGGACACGAACAAGGACGACCGTCCGTTCTACTTTACGGTCGAGGGAATCTACATGGCGCTGCGAACGCACGACATCACTGTGGTGCACTACACGTGGGACGAGCAGATGCTCACGAGTCGCGACGTGGCCAAAGCCGTGGAGAACATGCAGCGCACAGCCAGAGGTGAGCAGATGCGCACGAGGGTAACGCGAGGGATGCGCTGTGATGACGATCGGTTGGCCTTGCAGCTGTTTGACTTGCATCCCACTGGGATTTTTGCACACAGCGTTGGTGTACGGTGCTTTTTCTGCAACATTTTTTGCTGTCTTTTCTTGGATTTTCTGTTTGCACTTAGTCACATAGTCACTTTAAGATGCTTTCTTGTTCATGTTTTGTTTGTTGCGGTTGCACCCGATTCAAGAGCCGAATGGCTCACAGGGCTATACCTAATAAATGAAACTGAAACTGTAATGATGGACATCATCATGTCTCTATTGACATGATCATGTCTAAGTTTATATTGAAATCTAATTTCTCTAGAACTGATTGTTGTGTTTAGTTTGTTGCCCTTCCCCGGAATCTCCGATTAGCACGGTTGACTACGTACGGTGCGAAAGAAGTTCTACATAATGGTCATCGTCGTGGGCAGCAATAGGAACAGCAGCATCATAATTGTTACGCTAATCAGCGTTATTGTCATCGTCTTAGTCGTTATTATCATCATAATGAGCAGCATCAAGAACTGCATCATCATCATCTGCGGTGTCATTGCAGTGGTCGTTGTCAAAGTCATGAGCAGCAGCAGACACAGCAGCAGCATCATGAAAATGTGAAACATCAGCAGCAGCGTCATTGTTGTAATAGTAGTCATAATCATCATTATCAGCAGCGGCACATGTCAAATACAGTAATCATCATCATCATCAACATCCCCCACACCACCAACTCCATGGCGTCACCATTATACCATAGATATCATCTTACCACCACAACGATACCATCATCGTCATCACCACCACCACCACGGCCGAACCCATCATCAGCATCTCACCACTATTTCAGATCGTCATTATCATCAGAAGCAACAACATCATCATAATCTCTGCTTATGAATGCGCAATTTGCAACACAGGCCGCAAGGCGCTATTAAAAAGAACACACGTTTGAAGTTGTACATTGAATGCATCAGATGCGATTTATAAGATAAATACACATTTCAAGAGTTTACAACCACTGCAAATAACCACTGAAATTCCGTAAAAAGAAGACATCGAACACAACATTAACATTAAATAAACACTTACATTATAGTTCAACACAGTCAAATTAGATATACCATTGAAAACAACAATTCTATATTGATTCAAGACGATACAATATTGTCACTGCTTAAATTTGAGCGGGGTGGAGGGAACCTTCACAGAGTATACCGTAGAGGGGGGAGATTGGTGTCTTATCAGATTTGTGTTCAAGGCAGGGTTCGAGTCAGGGCGACCTCCCCTTTGTTGCCGTGCAATTCGTGCCGCGTTCATTCGGCGGTGGTGCCGATGTTGGGGGCACGGTCTTCTTAGTCTACTTGCATGTTCGGGCGCCACGGTGGCGAGATGTTAACCGCATTGCGCGGTATACAGGAGGGCGTGGGTTCGATCCCGACCCTGACGCCTGTTGTATATTTGGAGTTTGTGTGTCGCTATCTCTCTCTCTCCTCCCGTGGTCTTGTGGATTTTTCTCCGGGTCCTCCAGTTTTTCCCTCCACACTTCGACTCAACATCCACGCGTTTAGATTATTTGGCTGCGTACTCTTTGGTTCTTTCGGTAAAGTCACGTAGGTATACAATAACATGAATTTAATTTATTTTCTACCTACGTGACTTTACCGAAAGAACCAAAGAGTATGGATCCCTGCAGTCACGAAAACTTCAAATCTAGATTATTTGGCTGCTATACATGTCCACGTGACCAGCCACTTCGTTGCGCTCTCATTTTTGATAGCCAGATCGCTTCTGATAAAAGAGCCGTATAGCTCAGTGGGCCTTATTTGGTAAAATTAAAAGTTTAGTAGTTTAAATGTATGTTGAACTTCTTTAGCACCGTACGTAGCAGACCGTGATAATTGGAGGTGGGGGGGGGGTGAATAAACGTAACACAAAGAAGCAGCTACTGTCGTAGTGGGGATTGGTGGCTTCACCTCGCGGGTTGGTTGCAATGAGTTGATAAGCCGGAGAACCTGGTTTCGACTCCTGGTCGTGGGACACGGGTGCCCGTTATTATGATAGGTGATATGACGGGTGATTATTGGATAATGATTGTGGGTCTATCACGATAGCGGATTGTGATGATGACGACGGAGAATATCCACGTACACGAGGGGATAACAGAGATAGATCTCAGTGTACAGATTCGACTGAATGCATATGTATGTATGCGAAAGCCATTGCTGTACTCATACCGCATAGCTACGTTATATCCCCACTGCTCTCCTACAAGCCCTGGTAGTTTACCCCACGCAAGTATTGTACTAAACAGGCTCGTCGCTGGGAGATCTGCTCACGAATGCCTCAGGGCGAGGCACCGTACGCGTGGCGAGATCGGGATGTTGTGCAGCCTTGTGTGTGTTCGCATGTGTGGGGAGCGGTGGTGCAGCGGTTATCGCGCTGCGCTAAGAACCCGGCCACCCCGAGTTCGATTCCCGCTCGCGGCACACACCCGTGACGATTATATCTGGGCCTCGTCGGGGTCGACGTAGCCTCACATGAGCACTTGGTGCGGCGTGTAAACATCGCGAACTGGGGAGACAAAGGCGGCCGGGCGCGGTGTTGGACACCCACCACCTCGTGTGCCGTGCCGGCTTTTATAGGTGCTCGCTGACAGCACTTGCCCCCAAAAAGTACTTGAAGGTTATACAGGAGTTTAATTTGGAGCTTTCGTGACTGCAGGAATTATTCTTTGGTTCTTTCGGTAAAGTCACGTATAAAGATATATCTGTGATATCGGTCTGCTTATATGTCTGTCTATGTTTATGTTTCTGGTTCTGTGTTTAATCTCTCTCTCAAATTTAGCATTCTCAGGAAGAACGTAATCAACCAGATAGGGTGTTGACTATTATGTTATCCGACTCTCTGTTGTATTACATTACATTTCTAAGTATACTAGATTTGTGTTCCTATTTAATTTATACCTGATGATGATTGCTTGTGTTGCAATCGAAACGTCGTATGCTAGTATTTAATTTAATTTATTATTTTATCTTTATACATTACTTTACCGAAAGAACCAAAGAATAAGTTATACGGGAGGTCTTTGTGTGTGCCCTCCACGTTTGACTCGGATATCTCGATGTTTAAATCATCCTACACTCGCGTCACGCATGGCTATTGTTTAGCGATCATCGGGCACGTCAATGATCATTAAAACGCGTACCGTAACGAGGACTGAAACGCGTTACTGGAATAAGTGACACTTACGACGCAGAGGAGCATGGAAATTAGTTTTTCCCGCACCTCTGTGCTCTCCCGCGGATCATACTCCTCGCCGTGACCAACCCGCACTGACCAGATGGGGTGAAGTATGGCTCAACAAAGCCCTGTGACCGACACGGCGCGGGGAGGCTGTCACCCAGCACTGTGGGTCGACAGAGAGGGCCGCATGTGTACAAACGTGCACGTGGGTGAATGGGAATTGTAATTGTATTTTTTTTAACATGTTTGAACTTGGGTTTCTGAGGACAGGCACCAAGTAGCCAGAACACAAACTGCACTATTGAAGTTGAAATACAGTAGATATAAATTAATATATGTACGTAATATACATATTTATATACCGTATTATGAGGTGCATTCACAAACCCCCGTATCCCCCGCACCTTCGATTAGCACAGTTGGCTAAGTACGGTGCGAAAGACGTTCAACATACATACGTAACGCAAATGTTGCAGTGGTACTTATTATCTACTCCGGCAGCTGTGTGTTAGGGCTGAACGATTTGGGGAAAATATCTAATTGCGATTTTTATGACAGATATTGCGATTTGATTTGCGATTACATTTTTTAAGTCAAGCTTCAGTTCAATATTCACTGTGTAATAGATGTGAAACATGTGATGGAGCATTACCACATGATACCATCAAAATATGAACTGCTCTATATATTCTATTGCAAGGATGAGAACTTAAAATATATAAATTGCTTCCAACATGTAGTTATTAAAATGGTTTAAATGAAATAGAACAATCAAACGTAGAACAATGAAGTTAAATAAATCAAGTTTTAATAATAATACAACTTTCCAAATCGCAAAAATTCGCAGCCTTTGCGATTTGCTACTCGCATGGTTTCAATTTGCGATTTCGATTTGAAATCGATTAATCATTCAGCCCACTGTGTGTGTGTGTGTGCGCAACTTTAATGACACCAAGCGGCACTTTTTTTAGGACGGGGGAGGGGGTGTGTTTTACTTTCCGGAAAGTCTTATAATCTGAAAAACACGGTATTATGGTGGGATTTTTTTGGTTATTTCTAACAGGAGGGCCCAGTGACTGCCTCTGCTGAAAGTCCACCCAGTGGCTCGCGGGCATTTGTCGCCGTCAGTCGCTCGATTCATCAGAGATGATCGCTCGCGCGCCCAATTTAGAGGACCGAGGCGCGCCCGGTGGCCCGTTTCTCAAAGTCCCCGCCGTAATTGGGCGCGGCCAATAATTTGAGGGATAAACCAGCTTCGCGTGAAACGTGTAAATCCGCCGGATTACACCGACCCCGCAGAGACATCGTCATCTCCCCCCCCACCACCAATACCCCCCCACCCACCGCCTCTCACTCCCTGCTGGGCTCCCGAGGTCTCTCGCCATGAAATGAAAAATCAGATAATAATCCGAGGATTGTTTTCTTGGTTTGTATTTTGTTCAACGGAGGAGCTGCGGCGCAGCGATTAGCGCACCGCAGAAAAGCAGCCGACGATGCGGTGGGGAATATAAATATCACAAATAGATAACAGACAATGTGTCTTCTTCGAATTTATGTCCCTTCACATAAACTAATAAAATGAGTATTTACACAACCCATAGGCCCCACGGCATTGAGAGGCCGAATCTCTTGATTAATGCTGCAGAAAATATCGTCTGCCAGTTAATTGTAATCCTCACTACAACGCCAATGGTTATTTTGAGTTATTATAGATTTTTTGCGACTCCAAATGTTTTAAGAGAAGGTCCTTTGCCTTGAGTAGTTGGCAGTTCACCAGTTAAATTTCGATTTAAAGCTTTCGTGACTGCAGGGATTCATCTTCTTGGTTCTTTCGGTCAAGTCACGTAGAAGGGAAATAATAAAATAATAAAAATAAAACATAATAAAATAATTCTCACGACGTCTGCTTGCGATGTGGCCGAAACGTCGTGATAATTATTTTATTATGTTTTATTTTTATTATTTTATAATGTTTTATTTTTATTATTTTATCATTTCCCTTCTAAGTGACTTTACCGAAAGAACCAAGAAGATGAGTTGACCAGTTGATTGAAACAAGCCTGACTGCTGATGAGACACTGCATGTCGAGAACAGTGCCAGTGTTGTACTGAATCAATACGACTGAAATTATCCACTCCCAGAAGAGCATGGGGCCGATGGGCTGTGTGTAAAGAAAGCTGCTGGATATGTTTTTGTTTGTGGAGAGACGGATACATAAAGAAGACATTATTGTCTACTCATCTATCCTGTATTGATGAACCCGCCGGACCCAAATTCGATTCCCGGCCACAGCGGACATCAGTGGTGAGCGATATCAGGAACCGGTCACTCCTGGGTTTCCCCCTCCCCCCGCCATGGGAACATGGAATTTCTACCATTGATTAAGGGCCTCCCACCACCGAGATGTCTCAGCAAGAGAGACGAGTATGACAAATACGAATAGGCTTTCCCCTTTCTGACAGTAAAACAGTAGGTGTTAAGATGTTCAAACCCCAAATAGATGCCTTTTGCAAGGAATCAAGTCTGCATTGACCACACGTACTTGTGGAGAACATGCAAACAAACATGGCTCTGACAATGTATGATGTAGGCCAATCAGTTTCAAAGGGCATTAATTCTAGATTTGAAGCTTTCGTGACTGCAATGATTCATACTCTTAGGTTTTTTCGGTAAAGTCACGTAGGTGAAAAATAATACAAATAAATAATAAAAATTATAGAAATAATAATAGAAATAAAATATTAAATCACAACGTTTCGGAGGCAACACAAGTCTCCGTCATCAGCTGTGACGGTCCCACCTGATGACGGAGACTTGTGTTGCCTCCGAAACGTCGTGATTTATTATTTTATTTCTATTACTTTTATTATTTAATTTTATTATTTTTTACCTACGTGACTTTACCGAAAAAACCTAAGAGTTTCAAAGGGCATGTTTGTTTGCATGCTCACCACAAGTACGTGTGGTCAATGCAGACTTGATTCCTTGCAAAAGGTTTCTATTTGGTATTTGAACATCTTAACACGTGTTTTATCGCCAGAACGGGTAAAACCTATTTTTGTTTATCATACTGCCAAAAAGGTCCCATGATACAAGGGAGACGAGTTGGTGGCATACACGTAGTGTGCAGCCCTCTGTCAATCCACCGCAGGATGAGGGCCCCCTCCTTCCCATGCTGTAACGGGCCATGTGACCTTCACCAGGCTGGTGAGCGCGGGTTGGAGAAGGCGGTCAGAGTAAAAGCATAGTACAGTCCAACAATGGAGGTATCTACACTTCTCCCTGTTGACAACATAACCTGCTTTGTGCGTGGAGGTTACCCCACCCAAGCACACTCCAATCTCAACCCTGCTCCGGCATTCGAGTTGTGGCGAAATCGCAGACATTCTCGGAGTTTTGATAGTAGGCAGACGAGGCACGATTGAGACAAATTGATCTGGTTTCGTTGCCACGCCGCTAAAGGGCATCTTGGTTTCAGGGGAGATCACGTGTCCATGGAGTTCACTCTATACCAGCTGTGTTCAATTAACACGGCGCAATAATGTGTTTTTCCTGGCTTATTCATTATGTGTCTATTAAGTTCTCCTGCTGCTGCTGCTGCAATAGAGTTCTCGGGGTTTTTTTAGAATCGGGCATGGGACGTTTTGTCCGACATCATGCAGCCATGCCACCTGTGTGTATTGTATTTGGTCAAGAACGACTTGCCATGCACAAACAGCCATTGATCCGACCAATCTTCGCAATCGCTTCCTTCTGCCAGATTTCACAGCTGCTACACAGCCAATATCACGCCCCCACCCCCGCCCCAAGGTTGGCTCTTAAAATATTCAACCTCATAGCTTTAAGTGTTCCTTTTACCCATTATCGTCATCATCATTATTGTCATTATCCATTGATCTCTATTATGTTTATCCATCGATCATCACCATTCATTGATCATCGTAAACTATCAATCAGAATCATTATTTAGACTGGAGGAATCCACGATCATAGCACCCACGACTGATTATCCATTGACCATCATCAAATATCAATCTATCACACAGAAATCATTCATAGATCATCATCTGCATCATCTGGTGGTTGAGACCCGTAACACAATAGCAGCCATTGGAGAGAACACATCTGAGAGAGAGGACGACAAACCAGGGAGGTGGAGCGATGAGATCACTTTCAGGAACGAGAGACTAATTATGGCATCGCAGGTCCACGAGAGATGGTGCGGGCGAGCCGTCATCCGGGCAGTGGCTAGAGCGTGGCTGTGTTTCTTCCCAGTTGTGTACGTGTGCAGTTCTCCGGACGCGTTCCGCCGTCTGCTTCTGGCCGCCAAGCGCGCTGGACTTCGCCTGCAAGAGTTCGCCTTCCTCTACCTGGACCTGTTCGGTGAGGGCCTGGAAGGAGGGCGGCCTGGGCACGACAAGGAAGGAGGCTCCGGCAGCCTCAGCGGGGCTCCTTGGCATCGGGGAGACGAGGACGACGAGGACGCGAAGAGCGCGTTCGCGGTGAGTGCGCGGCGGCTGGTGCGCTTGAGCCGCGAACCTTGCATGCCGAGTTTGATGTCTGGCCGTGGCTTAGATCAGTGCTGGTTTACCCGAACTGGACGTGGGCTTGGTCGTGGTCCTGGTTGTGGGCCTCGGCGAGATCGACGCTGCCAAAAATGAGTGTGTAGAGAGAGATATCAGCGCTGGGGCGGCAGAGGCGGCCCAGGTGTGGTGCTGGCCACACTTCTACCCACGTATGCGCGGTGCTGCTGTCTTTTGTAGGTGCTCACTAATAGCACTTAAACAGTTTGTTAAAGACTATTTGGGGGATCTTTGTCTCTGTCCCATTAGTAATTTGTCCCATTAGTCGAGGATATAATGAATGGGAAAATTAGAAAGGGGCAGGAAAGGGAAGAGAGAAGAGAAAGAATAGGAAATAAGATGAAAAACAATGGAATTGGAGAAACGGGACCAAAGGGTTCAGCAGAAATGAGGACTGGGAGGTAGAGGGTACATAATGGCCTCGAAGCTGCTACACGGAGCAGCGTCTATTTCCACAGGGGGCGGTGGTGGGCTGGGAGGAGGGGTTGAGAGTGGTCACGCAGAAGTCACGTGATTTACAGGAGACTTCAGCTGATTTAGATATATATGGATGTGCTTTGCATTCCTCTTTCGACAGAGCGTTCTGATCATCACATATCAGCAGCCCAACAACAGCCAATATGAGCAGTTCATCTCCGACGTGCAGAGGAAGGCCCGGGAAGCATTCAATACAACGATGACCCCATCACTGGTGAGATTCGTGCAAAACAGACTTGCATCCCACTGGGTTCTCACCTGGTTATACATCGAGTTCAGGCTTACACTACTTCGACTGATATACAAAACAAGGTACACCTGGATGAGAGAACAAATGCACATCAAAGGCATCACGTTTATCAGAAATGTAAGTTAACAGACCGCATAGTGGCTAGAAGGGATGATGGCCGATGGACAAGAATGTTGAATGTTTTTTCATCCCTTGAAAAACTTTGCAAAGACGTGGAGTGTGCCGGTGATAATAAACATAATGATTGATGATGGTCTATGGATGGATGATGATGATGGGAATATGGGTTAATCATGATGATAATGATGTAAGAATATAGATGAATTATCCATTATAGAGGTTTTTTTGGGATACATCGCTTAAATAAAAATGTGTCTTTAAACCCGCCACCACCTGACATGGCCAAATAGTAAGGTTTGTCACGTAAACAAAACATAGCAATTCGTTATTAGTACAGCACACCGGTGTGTTGGAGAGTAAACTCATAACACTTACAATTCGAGTACTGTGACTTTTCGCTGGTAATTACAACCAGCATCATCAGGTGACAGCCAGAGTTGTGTAGAAAACCTCCTGTTGCGGTGTTAAATCGAGGGATCCATGTGATGTCGTCACTTGTGAGCCAATCAGGTGGAAAGACCGGGGGGTGGGGGGGGGGGTTAATGTATTCATATAAATTACAATGCATATCTATTATTGGTTGATGAATGAGGTTGATGGAAGGATGGATTATGATAATGACGATGAACGGAAATGGATGCAGAGGTAGAGAGGAGAGGAGGGGGTGGGGGAGTCCGGATGAATGATCACTAGCGATGACGACGATGATGATTTCACGTCGCGGTAGACGGATTTGGGAAATGAAAGAGGAGAGAGTGCCGAATTGGGAGGGAGAAGAGCACTTTATGACAGAAGCCCTCATCCGGAGTGGCATTAAATATTAAGAGGGCATCTCCAGGCGCCAAAGTGCCCCATCATCATTCGCTCCCCCGGACAATTACGCAAGTGTTGGTATTCCTATTGTCGCATTGATTGAGGATGCCTTTAGGATTTAGCACAAAGACACAATTACACACAACAACAATAACAAAGATCTCTGTACAGCCTTAACAGACTTTTGGGGCAAGTGCTGTTAGCAAGCACCTATGAAGATCAGTGCAGGTACGCACACACACGCACCAATAAACAAGAAAATGTAGCTTTAGACTCATCACTCAACGGCTGCTCAAGAATAAACAGTGATGATTCACAAACAGGAATTCTATAGGGCATATTTTATGGATCTTTCAGGGTCGCAGATGCATCGGTCGTTTCAGCGCCGTGCTTGGCCTTGTTTTTACAGTAATAGCTCATTACATCCGATATTACCGGAAAACGACACCCCACCCACACACACAAATGCTGACACCCACAAAGAGATCACCCGTAAAGCCACGTAGACTGTTGGGGCGAGCACTATCAGCGAGCATCTATGAAGACTGGCACAGGTGCACATTTGGATGGTGTGGCCAGCACCACGCCCGACATTTATTTTTTCTCTCTTCAGTGTTGATGTTGACACACTGCACCAGGTGGCTATTTAAGGCTGAGTAAACTCAAGGGAGGCCCGGGATACAGCCGTAGCATTGTTGTGATGTCGCTGGAATGCTGCATTGAAATGTGCGGCAGTGACGCCGTGCAACCGACGTACAAAATGTAACATTAAACCATGTTTCTGTTTTGACTTAAAGCTTTCGTGACTGCAGGAATTCATGTTCTTTGGGTTTTTCGGTAAAGTCACGTAGATAGGTTCAAATAAAATAACAAAAAGCTACGATGTTTCGATCATAACGGTTGCAACGCAAACGGTCGTCATCAAGCTTGCGTTGCGATCGAAACGTCGTAGTTTTTTCGTTATTTTCTTTGAAGGGATCTACGTGACTTTCCCGAAAGACCCAAAGAGGATGTTTCTGTTGTTATTTCTGCTTAAAACTCTTGTGGGAGAGGCCCTTAATGAATCGAGGAAAGCCTCACTGAGTCTCGAGACTCTTTTTCAAGAGGGTCATGCATTGGGATGTTTGGCCAATTAGGACAATGAGTAGTGTGTGTGGGGGGCCACCGGAGTTCCTGGAGAAATTCCACTCATACCACAAGCTCCAAGTTCCGCATGGATAGATTCAATAATCCAATGCAGCAGCTGACGCCCTACAATGTCTGGTATTCCCAGGCAGTCTCCATTAATGTACAAGTCAGGCTCAAGCTATGCTTGATTTTCCAAGTTCTGACGAGATTGAGAGTATTCAGGGTGCACTTGGTCATAAGCAATTAGATAATCTGTTTGCTGTTTTGGTTGACCAATTTTGTTTAAAATTGGGCATGCAAAGTGACGGCGATTGATTTTGTGTTCGGCAAACGCTTCGCTTTCTCCGCACTCTCCTCCAACCGTTGTCCAGTCGCCCGTTTGACGAGCGCTGAGAGGGACGAGCTCTCAATAGCGTACGCCATTTCCCCCTAACGAGCTGTTTCAAAAGCATTTGAACAGCCTCTTGTGCGTCCACTTTCGTGGGGTGACAGGATTAGGCGATAACAGCGAGACGTGGGAATGCGTGTTTCAGAGTTCGTGACGGCATAATAATAGTGAAGGGGAAAACAATAAGCATCCACCGCCACCACCACAACAATTATCCCTGCAGAATGACTCGCAATTCGCTATTGAATGATTCATCTTCAAGTCTCATTTACCGTACATTGATTTTCAGAAATCCGTCAAGAAATGTTCGGAATGCTTTCAATGATGACGGCTAGCCTGAATGGGCAGCCTTCGTGTTCACGATCGGGTCAGTGTGTGTGGCATTAGGGGAAAGAGTAGAGCTGAGATTATTAGCGTCTCGCTAATAAGTGGCTAGGGTTATGGGGAGAGTGCGAGTAGAGGTGTGGTTAGCTCAAGGTTAGCGATGTGGTTATGGTTAGTGTCCGACTCGCGTGCTTAGTGATAAGGACTAGAGTTGGGATCTTGTTGGCTAGTAAGGCTTGATTGGCTATTGTGGTTATGGCCAGAATAATATTTAGGATTTCATTGGCTTATATGGTTTGGATCCATACCAAGGTCTGATTGGCTAGTATGGTGAGAGGTATAAATAGTATTGGTCAGTGTGTAAGTGGCTCATGTGATTAGGACCAGGCTTTTGTAGCTGGGTTTAAGGCTACGATTTGGTTCGCTGGCACGGTTGGTGAGAGTGTCTGGTTAGTTTCTGGTCAGGGTTAGTGTTCGGTTAGTGTTGGTTACAGCTAGCTGTAGGGTTGCATTGCGTTCCACCTCTTTATACCAAGCGTGGACTTTTACACTTTGATCTTGCCCCTCACTTTCTACATTCACGACTCAGCTGACCTCAGCTGGCCTCAGCTAGCCTCACCTGACCTCAGCCGGGCCACAAACGCGATAATCGAACGTCTCCTGTGCGTCCTCCCACACTCCCTTCGCAACTGACCCCCATCCCGACGGGACCCCTCGAACCCGCCGCGCGCACGCATCGCGCCGCCAGCACACGCTGATCGCGGCGGCGTTCTACGAGGGCGTGATGCTGTACGCGCGTGCCCTGGGCGAGGCGCTGGGCGAGACGGCGCTCGGCGAGGAGTGGCGCAACCTCACGCGCCGCATGTGGAACCGCACTTTCCCTGGTGAGTCCCAACGGCGCAAACGCTCATCGCTCTTCTCGTCCTCCTCGACGAGTACAGGTAGTCCCCGATTTTACGATGGTCCGACTTACGATATTTCGATGTTACGATGGCAATAGCGATACGACAAAATTGTAAAATATTTTAAATTTCGCGCGGCAAGGCAAACGCAGCGGCGTACGAGGTACGATGCAGTACGTTGGGACGCTGCCAGGATGTACGCATCTCCCGCCTTGTGTGATGCCTCACTCTCACCAGCGGTCGACGGAGTTAACTTATAGTTTATACAGTACTGTACTGTAAATTGCTCTGTTTTTCTAAATTATCACCATTCTTTAAGACACCTGGGTAGGCTAGGCCATCTTCGACTTACGATATTTTTGACTTACGATTGTGGGGTCGTCGTAATGCATCTCCATCGTAAGTAGAGAACAACCTGTACTGATCGACCCCTCCATCACCCCACCCTCCCGGCACCCCCCACCGCCCTGGCGCATTTGGGGGGGAATCATCGCGATTAATTTTAACGGCGGGGACGCCCTGGCGAGCGGCAGCAGCTTGTTGTGGGGAGTCGGCAGTGGACGTGGAATTTCCCGCCGACCTCCTGTCGGCCGTTGTCTTTTCTTTGCCATGTGCAGGAGTCACCGGCACGGTGGCAATCGACGACAATGGGGACCGTGAGATGAACTACTGCATTTGGGCCATGAACGGCGCGGACGGGGCCTTCCGGGTGAGAGCGGTGGCACGGCGCGTGTTGGCAACGATGAAGCCGCTGTGGGGTTGGCGTTGGTGGATTGGGCAGAGATAGCCCCCCCCTCACCCCCCAAAACCTGCAGGTGGCCACCGATTAGCCAACGGCCAGCAACTGCTTCAGATTTTATTTGTAAAATATTCAATACGTCGGTTAGACTGTGGTTGGAGCGAGGGGTAGTGGTTGAGGCTATGCATGGGATCTTCGTCTTTGTGTGGCTGTGTGTACGTGTACGTTTACGTATGTATGTGTGTGCACATCTGCATGTATGCACACCTACAGATCGTCGCCATTTACGACGGGGTCACTGACACCGTCAAGATGGTCCCTGGCACGGAGATCCACTGGCCAGGAGGAAAGGTCCCCAATGACAACCCGCCCTGCATCTTCGACACGGACGACCCCGCCTGCCACTCACGTACGTTCCATCGTGACGGGCGGGGGTTGGGGTACCCCTTGTTATTCCTAGGAGACGACAGCCCCGTGGTAATGCTTGACAGCAACAGCTCGCTTCCCTTCTGTTGTGCAGTTGTGCAAGGGCTACTCCCATCTTTGATCATGCGGTACATCCGCCATCTAGAGATGCAAGATCTGGAAAAGGAACATATTGCATATGAGTGCCAGGGTCATGCCCCATCCACTCTGAACCATTTACATTTCCACATCGTACTAATATAAGTTACAGATTTATCACAAGTCGAGAGTAATTTTTTTACACTCCCTGACATGCAAGTGAGCTCATCGAGTTGCATTCACGGCACGTGGGTCCCCTTTGCACATAGAAGGAAGGTGACATTCTTTGTGTATGCAGTATTTGCAAGGTTTATTTTGAAGAATTGCGCATTTTATTTTGCGGGCATGCAGCATTAAGAGCACCTCCTCCGCTGCCTCTTCCCATCCCTCACGGTCCTGAGATGGCACAGCAATGAAGCACCGCTAATCGTCACGTCTCCACCGCCGCTGCCGCCCCCTGTTCTGTCCGCAGGTGGCCTGGGCACCCTCCAGCTCATGGGCATCGTGGTGAGCCTCACCGTGCTCATCATCGCCGTCACCGTCTTCATCGTCATCAGGTGAGGAGCGGCGACGCCGCGCACTCCCCTCGACTTGCCTTCCCGTGGGCGAAGGGGAAAACGTTGTCGTTTTTTTCTTGCCACGAACGCGTTCTCATCATCCTTTAGATTACTGTGCTTTCCGCCTATGACGGGGGCGGGGGCGGGGGGCGGGTAGGGAGCCTCTTCGTAGGATGGCCGCTGTTGACTTCCGCACAAAGCGGTGCTTATTGTTATCAACCCCGGAGGGATGATGGGTTGAGTTAACCCTGGCCAGGATTTGAACTCGCAACCTTCCGATTGCGAGCCGCTCTCTCCCTCCACCGCCGAGCCACCCGGCCGGCGTTCCATTTCAAGCAGAAGTTATTTCAGAATCTTGTCGCGCCCAGTATTCCCCCATGCACACACCCTCTACCACGTCCACATCCGACCCTCCATGCTGCCGGGATCTCCGTCCGTTGTTCGCAGGAAGCTGAAGCTGGAGAAGGAGCTGGCCAGCATGCTGTGGAGGGTGCACTGGGACGACGTCTTCGTGGACAAAGTGGGTGATGCACTCAAGTTGTCGGGAGAGAGCGCGGTAACCCCCTCCACGGTGAGACGCCACGCTACGTCGGACCCCGACCTTGGCCGGATTGCGCATTGGCATGGTGCTGACCACCACCACGCACACACACTCATGTCGTGCAAGGGTTTCAAGTGTGAGGTACAGACCACCGATTCCAATTAATCAGTCCACTACACTACTTGGGACGTGTTTAGGAAGCAATCATGACGTGTGTGCTGTGTGTAATTACCTGATTTGCATTTAAACGGGGAATGATTGGCCAACGCGCAGCGACATACCGTGGTGGGTGGCGGGCACTTTCTTCTTCTACGTGCGGCTGATGTTGATGTAGAGCCATTATCTGGTTGAGCCAGATGATAGCGTCAGGAGTACTGGAGTGGTGCATCGCTGTGATGAGGCCTCCTTCATAATTGTGAATTGGGCATTGCGCATAGGCTATCAAAACTTGTTTTATTTGACCAGATAAGGCCCACTGAGCTATGTCGCTCTTTTTCAGAAGCGACGCAGCTATCACAGATGATAGCTCAACAAAGTCGCTTATCAGTGGAAATTTATATCAGCCAAAAACTCAAAACGCCTGTTTTTAAATGTGGAGGGGAAAATATGGAGAACCCAGAGAAAAATCCACGCCACCACGGGGAGAACATGCAAATTCCAAATTTAAAGTGTCCCATTTGTGCATCAAACCAGAAACAGAATCACGATATTTATTTATACTGAAGGAATTCGATGAGTTATAAAGCACTTTTCACAGATGTCCAGTAGTATGCACATCTGCCATGGTTTGTGCCTTAAGGAGTGAAAAGACGAGAGAGAAAGAGCGGGAGGAAAGCAGGGAGTGAGCGAGCAGCGCGCAAGCTCGCTCCCTTGCTCCCTGCTTTCAGCGCAACCGGTTTTGCACGCGCACGGCAATGTGATCATGGCATGCGCTACCCAAGGCATAAGAGATGTAACGGGTCGGCGAGCGCCGCGGGAATTAAACGGAGCCCGTGACCTTTGTGCCCCTCCTGTAACGAGAGTCTTTGCTGGGATTCGTGTAATGCCGCGAGCTTCACTCGGGAAACATCTGGGGCTCTCATTGTGATTCACCTTCCAGCTCGCTGCAATATCAGCGCCTGCGCGCGCATGTGCGTGCGTTACGCTGCGTGCCGTGATCAAAGCCGACAATGTGTATTGCTGATCAAACGAGCGTTGGGTTCGCGATTTCCTTGCCTTTCTCGGCAACCCTGAGTTGGTAGTGGAATTCCCCATTTCCGTGGCGATGCCCGCTACAAATTGGTACCCGTTTTATTGACCACCAATTGATGATTGTTTGTTGACTCCCTGTAATGTTTTTTTTTTTCCCCCGGATTAGAATTAATTAACTTCACACTCAGCTTCACACTCAGCTTCACACTCAACTTCACACTCAGAGCTTCAAACTCAGAGGTGCCGGCACCTCGTCAGTGACCCCCCCCCCCCCCGCCCGAGCCACCCGACAACCTCCGTTCACCCCGCCAGGATTTTAACTCGTAACCTTCCTTATTGTCGCGTGCGCCGAGTAACCGAACCGCAACGCCACCCAGCCAGGTGACGGCTTACGATACTTGCTCTCTGTGCGTCTAAGCTCTCATTTCCCTCAGAGCCTCTGAGCATGACGTCCGCTCGCTAACGCTTGCGGCCTTCCTGTCACCTTGCAGAGGTGCTCGAGCCACAGCTCCCTGGCGACGACGCGATACGGGCGGTCCGTGTTCGCCAACACCGGCTTCTACAAGGTACGTGCGGCGTAGCCGTCGCGAGGCGCGGCTCCGCGTGCCGCTCTTATCCCATGCTTGCCGTGGGCCGCGTTGTCAGCGAGGAGAGGGTGCAGCAGCAGCAGCAACAGCGGCAATAGTCAGTTGTGCTTTCCCGGACTCTGCGTCACACGTCCACGCTTCCCGCCTTCACCGACGCTTCACTGACCAGCGGCAGTGACGTTCAGTGAAATTGCCGCCATAAATCGGCACGGTGTTGGGAGGCTCTCATCCAGCAGTGGATTGACAAAAAAGGGGGACGCACGTACACCTGGCAGGCTTGCGACGACGCACCACCCCTGCGATTCGATGGATATTCACGATTCGCGGTCGTGATTTTGATTTCACGATCTGTTCCTGATCTTTCAGATCTTGTTTTTCAACGTCTCATCCGTATTGTCCATCTTGTATATTCTTCACTCAGTGTTCTGCCTGTTCATTGCCATTATCAGGACGGTGACATTTACGTGCCGCTTGCATATATTGTAAAACATATCAAATCAATTCTTTCCACGTGTTATTTGACGCATGATAGGAGCGTTGGCGAGCTGTATTGAGTACCGTACTTGTGTGATAGTGTGCATGAACATGGGTGCGTTGCGCTATGAGAGTGAGAGGTGCACTGTGTCGAGTGGGAGTTCACTTTGGGAGAGTTCAGAGGTCGACTTAAGGGTTAAAACAACAAGCGTTCAAGGAATCCGAGATCGAGATAGGAGGAGACGACTGAGATTGAAGCGTCGTTTGAAAAGTCAGCATCTCGCTTTCATACACAGGTGCATGCTGTGGATAAGAGGCTTTTGCACGGTAGTACGGGCTAAGCAACTTGCAAGCTCAGGATAGAATATGGCTGGGGAGCACTGTAGATGTGACCCGCGATAGAGGAGGCTGTGTGGCCCCTGTGCAGGGTGGGAGGAGGAGGAGGGTAGGCATTGGAGTGGCACCCAGGAGTTCAGTGACCCGAGGGGAAACCGTCCAGCCAAACGATTGAACCCTGTAACAGACAGCAGGACCTCGAAGTCTTGGGGGGGGCGGGGGGGGGGGGGTTGACGCCATTGCGGTTTTGGAGTCGATGGCGGAGGTGGAAGGAGGAGGCTGCGGTGTCGCAGTGGCTTCGACGCTGTTGGCCGTGACGGCCGCTTGAGCTTGAACTCGACTCTGACATTGCTGCCGTGTCCGCTGCTGCTGATTGTGCACTTTTTTTTCTTTCCCCGCGACCCGTTTGCAGGGAAACTTGGTGGCCATAAAGTTCATCAACCGGAAGAAAATCGAGTTGACGAGACAAATGCTGTTCGAGCTCAAGCACGTAAGTGGCGGTGTTGCTGTTGTTGTTGTTCATTGCGCCTCGTTGCATGCGGCTCTCATTACGGTCAAAACGCGTCAGTGTTTCCTTGTTGCCAGTAATTAAGTTAAAGCTGAAGGACAATAAACGCGACGGTGGAAGTAATGATAACAATAATGGCCTTGCATTTGCACATGAAAGCCTCAGGGATTGGGACACTTTTTCAAGGGTCTTGCTGCTGTGGGATGTTCTGGCTAATTTGATAAATGATTGTTTGTCTTGTGGGACGAATCTGCATGATCCGGAGAAAACATGCGTACATACAAAGCTCCGCACAGATTATTTCAAGAATCCATTGCCATCAAAATGTATAACCTGATTCCAAAGAACACACAATGAGATGTTACTATCCTTTGTGCAAGCACTTCCAAGAGTTCATGAACAGTGAGCCTGGTGAAATTTGGGGAGCGCATCGTCAGTAGAGAATCCATTGCCATCAAAATGTATAACCTATTTATTACCAATCAAAAACTTTAAATTTGTACGCCACAGACGATTTGGTAATTAATAATGATTTATTTCGCGTTTTTTGTCACCTTAAATATATTAAAAAGAAAAAATATCTGAATGGTATTGCATTATTGTCCTTGATTTAGACCACGTGACAAGTCAGTGCCTCTAGTCCCATAAGAAGGAAACAGCCGGTCGTTATTTTCCATAACTGCGCTCGTTGGTGTATTCGAGGCTAGCGCTTTAATTCCGCGTTCGGGATTTGGGGCATTAGCATTGACACAGGTCGTAAAAATCCTTCATGCGACGACGCTGGGGGGATTTCAGTGTCCGCTTTGTGGCAACTGTGGGAATTTAACCTTCTTGACTCAGCCACGGGCTGATCCGGTGGCTGGTGTTATGACTGCTGCCAGATGACCGCGTATTTCTTAATCGTGTCCTGACACAACACTTTATTACTAATTTTCTCCAAGTTGGTGAGCTCGATATAAAGCACTCGGTTCTGATATGGGTAACACATGCTTTATGTTACACTGGCATCGGGGAGGGTGCTGCGTTGCGCTATGAACCCGGTGATCTGTCTTTAATTCCCAGCCATGGCTAACATTGGCAGCGAGGGCTATTTGAACTGGTGTCAGGCCTCCCCCGAGGTAAACGCATGATCAAATGAGTACATCGGCACTTGGGAGACAATGGCCACGTCGCCCCGACCTGTGCCTTTCCAACCTTAATAGTTTATGTTTTGACCCGGCAATAACGCCGTGTTTTCAATTCCAGCGCACTCGGTAAATGTGAGCCTTAATTGTTTTTTTTCTTTACTATTGCATAAGGCTACGGTGTGTTCATGTGTGACCTGCCCACCAAAGGTATTTCAGAGTCCTATTCAGCCTTCGGTATGGAGACGGTACCCCACTCCTGGTCTACGTGGCTCGGTGGGAGTCCACGTACGTACGTACGTACGTATGTACGTACGTACGTGCATGTACATGTTGAACGTCTTTCGCAACCGTCTGATGCGCGAGTGCGTGTTGCTACGTCGCACACAGATGCGGGACGTCCAGAACGAACACCTAACTCGCTTTGTAGGCGCCTGCATCGATGTGCCCAACATCTGCATCATCACCGAGTACTGCCCCAGGGGAAGCTTACAGGTAAGGGTACCGCCATAGGCAGCAGCAGCAGCAGCAGTTGACGAGTGTCTTGCTGCTGTATCACACGGATGTATCCCCCCCCACCTCACCTCTTGGGGTGTGTATGTGCACATGTGTCAATGACTCACACTCATCGTCATTATCAGCAGCAGCAGCATAAGCCTTGATCTATTTACTCCTAGTTGAAGGTCTTCTCATACCGCCTCCAAGCCTCTCAATCTCGCAGTGCAACAATTCATTCCGCTCGTGCACACGAGCTGATCAATATCGATCCTTCCCAACGGCAACGGTCACCCTCCTCTAGAAATCATTTCAGCTGCCATTCCATCACTGGCCTCATTCATCGGCATAAATTCCTTCTGGCAATGATGCATCCTGAAAAAGCCCACATGATTCCCTTCTCAATCACTGTCTGATGCTGTCTTGTATTTCTATTACCTTTAGACTCACGTTGCAGTGTCTCCATGCTCAAATGAGCCAGTGATGACAATTCCATATTTCTATGGCGGCGGGGACGGGGGTCAGTCTCATCGTAGGATGGCCACTGTTGACTTTCCACAAAATGTTACTAGCTTTACCTACCCCATTCACCTGATGCATTGAGTTGACGCCTGGCTAGGATTTTAGCTCACTTTATCCGCGGCAAACACCTTCCCGACCCATAATTACGCTGTCACTGTGCGTTAGTATCTATCCATTCGTTGCCTCCGCGGCTGTATCATTTACTTGGCAGAGGAGACGGGGGCTGTATGCGAATGACAACGGTAGGGTTCCTTACCGCCCTGCACGTACCGTCCGTCCTGCACGGTTGCAACATTACAATTAGAAGCGTAATAATGAACTGATCCTTTGGTTAATATCGATTCCTCGGGCTTGCGATACATGCCGGTTGTGATATCAGATATCCTGGGGATTATATGCTTTCATTTGTATTATTTGGGGGAGTGGAATGTTGTGTCGATTTTTCAATTTATATTGATCCCCCCCCCTCCCGCCATCCTCCTTTAATCACGTTTATAAGAATAAACGAAAGTGTGTCATTAGTTGGAAAATGTGAATGAAGAACATTTTGAAAAAGAAAAATTATTGATTCAGTAAGATCAAGACATGCACGTAGAGATTCAACGTTTGTTCCATTCGTGTGTACGTGGCACGTAACGGGTTCACGCGAGTTCTCTCCAGCCACTAGATGCTGCTAAATTCATCCCGAAGGGGTGGGCGGCGGGGGTTGGGATAAAAAAAACAATTCTTGAATCGAATTGCGACCGTGACGAGCGATGTGGGGTTGGGTGAGGCATGGCGCCTTGACAATGATCTCTTTACCCTTTGCCAGAAGAAACCCGAGTCACATCTGTCCTGGCTCCGCACACACCCTCACTCACTCCGGAGATTTCTGCAGGAACACGATATGGAAAAATAATCATCTGTTTTGAATAATCAAATCAACCCGCATGATATATAATTCAAACAACGTGAAAGCTTCTCAATTTTTTTCTTAATGCCTGTTTAGAGTTCATATTTACGTTATTTGTCCATGCGTGGCACTTTTTAATATGGGCAACGTTAAAACAAGGGGAAAAGATCGACGTTTAAATGAATACATTCTCGAATAGAATTGTTACCCCGAGTTTATTCATCGCAAGGCAAACGAATTGAACATCTGCCCATTCTACTCCACCCACTCCTACGTATAGAAATATGTTCAGGAGATGGATACCAATATTGAGGTCTGCTCGCTATGACGAGAAGGCTTCAGGAGAGAGCCTGTACAGTTTTACTATTCATCCTCGTTTGGAGGAACGCAGACAGCGGTAGCTTGCTATACAGTCTACGGTAAACGACTGTAGGCTGCCGATTACAACGCAGCATGGATGTTTGTGGATCGCTTGAGCGATTACTTATATTTCTAACGATGAATCAGTTGGTCAATTAATATTGATTCTTAAAAAAAGTTCACGTTTTTATTGCTCATTGTGGCAGTGCGCATCTCCTGTTTTTTTACAGCCCCGAATCAGTGGGTTATAATTCCACATTCCTTAGGATGGGGTCATTCCGTTAATAGGACAACCACCGTCAACTTCCTCACAAAGTGGCACCGCAGGGATGGTGGATTGATTCGTCAACCCCCTTTCCCGGGTGTTAACTCTCAACCTTCTGATTGCAAGCTGCTGGCTCTACCACTGAGCCACCCGGTGGCTATTTAATGCTCGCAATACGTTCATCGATTCACGTGTTGTAAGAATCGATTTTCAATGCCTGCCGATCATTTGCAAATGAATGCACGTAATCATCGAAGGGGCTCACGGAGCGAACGAGGACGTGTACAAACGAAGGCAAGTATAATTGCGGAAAACCATAGAAAAACAATCGTATCATTCCATCAAATCACTGTCCTGAATTACGACAATTCATTGACTGTCCGGGGCGGTGGGTGGTAAAGGGATGACTTGTTGCAGCCACGCTGCTGACTAACTGCTCTCAGCGCCCGCCTCTCCCGTCCGGAATATGAATGAGCATCACATTTGTGTGCCCTAACGCTCCATCTCCCTTTCACAGGACATTTTGGAAAATGAAAGCATTAGCCTGGATTGGATGTTCCGGTACTCCCTGATGCACGACATCGTGAAGGTAAAGGAGGTTGCAGCCCAGCCGCTGGAAACGCAATTAGCATGCAGCTCTTACCCTTAATGGGCACCTGGACCGCCTAATTGTTAGGGAGTTTTTTCTTCTTCTGTTGACCGCAGGTCAACATGCGAGGGTTAATTGCATTTCTCACTGTCAGATCTTCTCAGCTGCCCGAGCTCTTTCTTTACAACATCGATAATTGCCCGTTGCTCGTGCTGTGTGTCACTCGCGTGAGAAGTGGCGCGGAGGAGCGACAGGCGAAGGCTTCCATTGCGGACTGCCCCGGTGTAGCTCCCACCCCCTGCGTGTCCGTGTCGGCTGGCGGTGTAACGATGCGCCCGTGGTCACACAGCCGGGCACGCGCACGCTCTTCTTGCGTCTCAACCTTTGATTCCTCTTCTAGGTTCCTTTTCCCCGTCATTGCCGTCTCGTTTGTATGGATCACTCGTGTTTTGATGCCTGTTGTGCGCCGTTTGTGTGTTTTTTTGTCACTTGCCGATAGTCCAAATGCATCGTCAGCGTATGCCTTGGTTTAATTCGTAAACTGTAGTTTTTTAAAATCGATTAATTTAATCATGTTTAGAGGCGTAGTGCAACACGTTAATTCTCCCTGCATCATTTATAATTAATGGAAAGCATTGTATAGCAATTAGATAAATGTGAATACAAGGGCGTTTGTTGAATAAACAAAATATTTGTTGTGAGGCACAATGGTCTATTTCTAATTTTCAACCAATTTGAAGTACATGTTTTTGTACATGTTAAATGGCATTGTAGCTATATTGTGTTGACGTACAGTTCCCCATGCAGGAACAATCTTTCATATTTAATAAAAAAAAACATTCCTGTGATCATGTACCATTTAAATGCTCATAATACCACCCGCGGTGCTTACAACAGCATCAATTCATACAAAATGGGCATTGCTAATTCAGATGATTAATTTGATCTTCGTGGCAATTTATTCCATGTGTGATAGCCAGTCGCGAGTGGCTGACTGATAATAAACTATTCATGATGTTCTCGACAGCGAAGAAGCTTACTTTTTGACACATCGCCAAGTATATGCTCACGATTAGCAAAACCTTCAAAAAGCCACATTCTTAATTTTGCCCCCCCCTCCCAAACCCCTTTGGGGGTTGGGGGAGCAGTGCGGGGGGAGGAAACGTTTATTCCATGGCCCTGACACCCAGGACGCCCTTGCAAACGAGGTGTTCCATCTCAAGAGATTTCAATGATAAAAAATTGTTTTTTAAACAAACACAGTACATAAGAGCAAAGGACGTGCTTCTGAAGGTTTTTCTAAGGGTATGCTCCAGTCAGATGTGACATCAGAGCCGCCTTTGAAGCAGTGTCGTAGTCACGACATTATCAGCTCAGGTGGTGCGGCGATCGGTCAGGTGGGCTCGCACCCAGGCTATCATGTATCGTGGCACTTCTTGACTAATCACATCATTACATAGGTTTTTGTCCTTTTACACTATTGTTGAAAACATATCTCATGCTGGTTGTCAGGAGGGCCCCAACTCGTAGCTGTGGCCACCACGGGGGAGGGGACAAGGCGCCCCTGCTCGTCCCACGCTAGCTACACGACTGGTTAGGAGCTAAAGTTTACAGGAACGCTGCAAAACTAAAGCAGGAAAAACGCGATTGCCGCTGCACGTGCATAACACGCTCCACCGTAACCCCCCCTCCCTGCGCACACCCTGACACAGGGCATGCTGTACCTGCACAGCAGCGTCATCGGCTCCCACGGGAACCTCAAGTCGTCCAACTGCGTCGTGGACAGCAGGTTCGTGCTCAAGATCACCGACTACGGCCTCAGCAGCGTCCGAGCGCACAGCAAGGCGGACAGCTCGGCCAACTACTTCGAAAGTGAGGTTCCTCCTTGCCCCCCACACCACACCCCCACCCACCATGTGAATCCAACCAGCACCTGCACACGAGCTGATTCCGTGCATCCATTGCCACGGTAGACGTCCTCTCAGGCACATTCCACTCCCTGGCTGCCACTCCATTATTATTCTTGACCATCTGCCACCGTCCCTTCTAGCCATGCCGTGTGCTGCCCAAGCACCACTTCATATTCTTAACAGCTCGAATGATGTCACTGACCTGCGGATGTCCTCTTCATCGTGTACTCATCTTGGCCAATATATATATAATTTAACCCAAACAAAAGCTTCACTGAGCCTGGGGATTCATTTTGAAGAGGGTTCATGGTCATGCTTGTTTAAGAACGCAGACCTGGTTAACTTTGACCATATATCAGCCATCCTGATTCACCACAGGTTTACATTCCGTTAAAGTACTTAGCTGCATGGATTTGTTTTGTTGTATAACAGTTTTTACATTTCAAGGTTTTCGGGTTTGTTAGAAGAGCATTGATTTTATCAGCCTTTCATATTAAAAAAGAGACGTCGAGTGGAGGAAGGTTTTTGCAAAATCGCGAACACCAAGTGGAAGAGGCAGGGTTTCCAATCCACATTTTGTAAACTATGCGGCAGTGCGAGCATGAGAATTGTCCCCAGCAAGCATGAGCTCGGTTCCTTAATGACGTTGGTGATGCTTCGGTTTGCTCTGTGAGCCTCAGCCATTCTTAATTAACCCTATATAAGTTCAATCTTGATTTGAAGCTTTCGTGACTGCAGAAATCCATACTCTTTGGTTCTTTCGGTAAAGTCACATAGGTATAAAAAAATATATATATTTTATACCTACCTATAAGTTCAGGTTGTTAAATTTGTATTTAAACGAAGGTACAATAAAACATATGAAGCAATATAAAAAAACAGATTTGTTTTCTCCCCTCCTCCCAACCCCACACCCTGACAATGTTATTGCGATTGTGCTATCCTCATCACGTGTCGTGAGACAAAGTTTCGATTCGGACGTTTCACAGAGTGGCCTATCACTTCATGCTAGACTTTGATTTTGTAACCACTTATTGCTGCCAGCAGTAAAAATTCACTGGAGCCGATTTCGATACAAGTCCCATCGAATACAGCATCACGTCACAAAACTCTACCCGCACGTCGTTACACACGCCACGCTCGACGAATAAGTTCGTGAAAAAGCGAAATTCAGAATGCTGTTTGCACTGGTGCAGAGGGCTTGACCAACCCCCTACCGTTCAAAGAACACTCGCGCATCACCAGCATTTGAGTGGTACGTGTGCTCCAGTTGGAGCCGTGCCTTGAGCAGGACCCTGAATATTGGCACTGCAGAGCAGCCGTCAGTGTCGCCTTGCGTCATCTTTTTCCTGGTCTTGTAAACTGTGCCATCTTTGCTTGGGCGCAGTCGAAGATTGCTAGATCTTGGCACTTAGTAGCCAGGTAAGGCACCCCGTACTGTATATGAAAGTGCTCTTGTAAAACGGTACCTCCAGTATCCTGAAAATGGACCCTAAAATCTGGATCATTGGTTTGAGCCGCGGACACCCCAAATACCGGTGGGTCAGATCTTCCCCAGCACTGCAGAACGCACAAGGGTCTGGTGCCCCTGGGGAGATTCGGCTGAGCCACATGGCCGATGGCACCATCCAGCGTGCCAACCTCCACTGGAGGTCACCGGAGTGGCTGGCTATGGGAGGCTTGTACGTCTGTTTCTGCTGGGTGCAACCCCAATCAGGGGAGAGAAGTTATCTCTCCATTTTGTGTCTGGTAGGTTGGTCAGTTCGTCAAGATGCAGCGCCTTGACGCAGCATGTTTAGAGCGCTTTCTTTGGAGCGTTCTTCAGGGACACGTCCCTGCAGCCTCCGAGCTTCAGTAGCATCCCAGAGTCACTGCGGCCGGGAGGCTGAGTGCAGGAGAAGCGCAACTCCGGGAAGGCGGAGGGTTGTCCGCCACTGTGAACGGCTGACGGAAGAAGATTTCACGAACTTCACGATCAACACTCTGAGATTTGGTTCTCGTCGACATTTTCGTGAAAGCTCTACAGGTTGAAGAATGTGTATTATTTTTTGTTACGCACACGGTACTCTCGTGATACGTCCCTGAAGCCCTAATGCATCGCATCTTGAAGGAGGGGAGCATCGCCTTTGAGACTCCAGCTTGAATCAATATTACGGAGCTGTGGCTCAACAAAAAAAAACGTGTGAAGTGGTGGGGTGGGGGGTATGCGGACAGTTTCTTTTTCTTTCTGAAAACAACTGTTACTCATTTAAATAACAGGAATGTTTTTTATTTTATTTAGAATTAATATCGTTATACAACGGCTACATTTTACGTGGTTTGATCTGTGTGTGTGTGTTTGTCTTTTGTGCTGCGTGGGGAGCGGTGGTACAGTGGTTAGCGCGCTGCGTTATAAACCCCTCAACCAGAGTTCGAGTCTCGCTCACGGCCAGCACCAATGACAAATACCTGAACCAGTCCTGGGCCTCTCCCATGGGTCGACTCGGCCTCAAATGAGTACCTGGTGCGGTGTGTAGTCAACATCACCACTCGGCAGACAAAGGCGGTCGGGTGTAGTGCTGGCCATCCACCCCCTCGTGTGCTTGTGCCAGCCATCATTGGTGCTTGGTCATCACTTGCTCCAACAGTCTGTTAGGCTATGCGGGGGATCTTTGCGTGGTGTGTTACATTTTTAAAATCATATTTTCCATTGCAAGTTTTCTCTCTCGCTCTCTCTACCTGACCTGGCAGGGAGTGGGGAATGTCATTCTTTATTAAGACACGCGCCGTGTGAAAATATTTAAAATGTACCTTCAATGTGTTTTTATTGCATTCACCAACATACACACACATCACACCCTCTGTACACACCAATACCACAGCTACACATACAAACATCTACACAAAGACAAAAGATGCCCATATAGCCTTTAACAAGTCGCACATTCACAAAAGAACCATCGTTCGCCACTAAGTGACGGTGACGTCACTACGGCACTTGTGCCAGGCTATATGCACATTAAAAGTGCACATTCACACAAAATACAAATATCCCCCATATAGCCTGGATATACTTTACCGAGTGTTACTTTACCGAGTGTTAACATCCCCAGTTGTTTTTTAACAGTACCCTCTTCATTGTTCAGCCAGCATTGGTATAAACATGGACAATTTCGTTCTTTTGTCTATCATGTGTATCAGACCTCCCCTCCCCCTCTCTGTCCATTGTGTTGGCGTGTGCAGCAGCAACCGCGTCCAAGCCGTCGTTCAATTTTTTGCCCCCCCCCCTCCCCCTCCCGATGAGTTGTACTAACATTCTGATGAGCCCCCCCCCTCTCCTCCCCCCTTCAACGTGCTTATAAGGGATTACATCTTGAATCATTGCCTCTGTTGGGGCCGCTGGTCCCCGGAGTCCCTCCCTGCTCCGTGCCTATGGCAGGGGCTCCGCCGTGCGCCGACCCCTCGCTGCTCTGCGAGCAGCTGCTGCCGTCGCTGGGCTCATCGCCCGACGGCTCCCCTCCCTGGTCCGTCCCTCCGCGAGCTCGTGTGAGAGGCATAGCTCGCCGCACGCCCTCGTTCACCTGCAGACGCTGCGTTGTCTCTCCACGGATCACGCGCTATTAAACGGGGGTCGGGGGCGAACGACGCTGCCCTCACACTGCGCGAGTCCCGGCGGCGACAGACGGATCGGGGACCTGCGGACGCACCGACCCCTTCACCCACACTACGAGCGCACACACCTGCACACACGCGACACCCACTCGTGCGCCGCTCTACGCAGCGCTCACTCACGTGGTGAACCACAGTGTACACACGCGCACCCACACGCTCACACTGCACGACAATATCACGCGAGACCACGCTTCGCTATTAATGATTTATTATCTGATACCTGGTAATTTAATGTTAAATCAGTGAGTCGACGAGGCTGGCCTACGCTGATACCTTTATACCTATTCCCGATTTATCTGCTATGATTCTAATTCTAATGTTAAATCAGTGAGTCGACGAGGCTGGCCTACGCTGATACCTTTATACCTATTCCCGATTTATCTGCTATGATTCTAATTCACCTACTTACTTCCTGCTGGATGCCCACGGCGGTTCGTTGATCCCGTGCTCGCAGCGTACCTCGATGCGTCTCACGGACGATCGGGTCGCTGGACTGGAGAGCGTCCTGTCGCCTGGCGCTGGAGAGAAGAGAGCGATTTCCCCTCTGCGCTCCTCTATTTATCCTCCCTACCTCAAAGGGGATGCTGCGCTGAACAATGGGCTCGTGCACCCCAAGCCCGCGCACGGCGGTTCCCGGGCGCTGTTGATATGCTAATCAGTGAGCGACGTTGGCGGCGTACATCCTAATTACTCCCTTACCCTTCCTAACAATGGGGCCTGCGCGCTCAAGCGCAATTATCCCAACCCTCCATGACTATGCGCAACAGCCCCTGTGACCCCGCTATTCATGCTGTCCCGTGCCTCCCCTGCTTGCCCCGTCGACCCGTGGGAGTGTGTGTGGGGGGAAATGCGCCTCAACCGCGGTGGCCGAATGCCCCACGCCACGACGACACCATATTAAGGCCGGCCGCAGCGCCGCGGTGCCACGTAGCACGGGGGAGGTCATCCAATTCCCTGATCGCCGGAAACCGTGAGAATTAATCCCGATAAGGGTCTCTCGGATAAAAACCGGTCGGCCAGGCGACCTCCCCTCGGAGCTCTATGGGGGGGGGGGAAATGAGTGCGGGTGTGTTCATGTGAGGTGAGGTGAGGGGGACGCCGGGTCGGCTCCGTTGCTTGGTGGTGGCGAGGTCGGGGATTTGGTGCCTGCCAACGGCTTCGTGGCGGCGGCATCACATAGCCCCCCGAGGTGCCAGTCCCCGTCCCGGGTTGACTGGAGCACCTCGCTTGGGCCGCGCCCACGAGGAAACGTTGCGGGGTCCGGGGGATCCGTCCGGACCTGGTGGCTGGCCTCGGGGCGGGTGGTTCCGT